ATGGGAAACCAATAAGATTAGAGGTATAGTTGTTTAGGTAATACTGATCCAATGGGGAAGCACATCACATAGCAAGTGTGCATGGAAAGAACAAGGACCTTTCCTGGAAGGGATGGGTTAAGAAGTTCTTGGTGCCCCACTCAGGTGACTGATGCCTGTTCAGAATATTGATCATAATTGTTTATCCTCGGAGAAGTATGTAGGTGTATCATTCCATCTTTGTCTTAAGGCCTGGCCTTCAATGAATGCACCTCCATCCACAGTTGTAATGTGCTTTTATCTTCTGCAGTGGCTTCTTTGAGCACCTAGCCCTGTCTGACTGCCTATAATATTTCTACCTAACTTAGGTGTCTATAATACCTGCACAAAATCTTCTGTTACCTTTAAAGACACCTCCTACTGGTATCTTCAACCTAGTTCTTAGGCTCTGAGCTCATGCCTTTCTGAAGACATGGCCTCAGAGTTGTTTGCTATCCACTGCCTTCCTCCGCTTCTATTAAGAATACCAGTTTTGTTCATGATGGGTCTCAGGCACTCATGGAAATCCTGTTCTCCCTTGTCTGTGATTGGCCTGGAGACTGACATATTCCCCAAGTCTGACCAGTGAGATCTGAGGAAAAATCTGTTAGGAGAATTCTGGGAAATTTTTGCCTCTCTGGTAAATACAGTCAAGGTTTCATAAAGGGGAGGGCCTTTCACCACTCTTATTTCTAGCATGCTTAGGATGCTGGCCAGTGAACACATAGTGTAAGGCTGCCATAGGCATCTTGTTACCCTGGAAGGTGACCTGCCACTTGATGGAAGAACTGAGCTCTTAGGCTCTTGAAATCATTGATATAACACTGTACAAATCTTGTCTGCCTCTGGGCTTATTGCAAAGTGACATAATAAAGGTCTGAATTGTTTTAGCCATTTGAGAATTTTTCCTCGCTGCTGAAAGCATTTCAACTGATGCATAGGGTATTCAGATTAGTACAATAATCCATTTACCTCCAGTCCTTTAAAATCCACATTATACTGCACATAGAGGCAAAATTCTCTTTCTACAATAAGACCTGATACATCCTTTGCTCTATCTGGAGTTGGTGGCACTCCCTGATACTCTATAATCTGAGTCCTGGAGCTCTCAGCAGGTCTAGTTTGAATGAAGAATCTCTCTTATAGATCCTGCAGCCAATGAAGTAATGATAAAGTCTTTTCCAGTATCTTAAAATCCACATAGATGTTATATTGGCCATAAGGAACCATCATTGTGATCTAGAGAAGCAGTTTTCAATTGTGTGTCAGAACCCATTAGAGGGCTTGTTCAAAACAAATTGTTGGGCTTCACTTTAAAGTAGTATATGTGGAAGAATGGCCAATCATTTGCATTCTAACATGCTCCTTTACATTTGTAACAAGTTCCCAGGCCATCTTGATGCCTAGGGACTACTCTTTGAGAACCAATTTCCTAGAAAATAATTATGCATTGCAATAAACCCACCCTAGCTTTCTCTCCCTCCATCCTGCTCCACCTGGTTGGGGGCTTCTTAGCATTGAGCAGGGACTGCATATACCTTCAGTGTCACCCAGGCAGAACAGAGGGCTGCTGTAGAGGGGAGAATAAGAGAAAGAGGAATATTTATGGAACACCTGCTACATTCCAGGAGCTGTACAGGGTGAGGAACAAGTAGATAATATTCTGCTCTTGCGGAGCCACAGACTGGTCCATGGAGAAAGAACAAATAAGCAGTTCAGTAAAACAACTGCAGATGCAGTAAGGTCCATGAAAGAAGCACAAGGCAGCTGCCGTGTACCAGAGGTCATGGGAACTCCGCTGAGCTGGTGGTGCTTGTGCTGAGAAGCTCTAATGATGGTGAGGGTGAACCAGGCCCAACTGAAGGAAGAATGTTCCAAGAGGAGAAAACAAGATTAGTAAAGACCTTGGGGTGGGGACAAGCTGGGTGTGCTCATATTTCAGAAAACTAGAGTGACTAGAGATTAGTGAGCAAGGGAAAGTGCCCCAAAATGAAAGTGGAGGTAACTACTGTTTATCAACTGTTACATGACAAATGCCCCAAACCTTAGCATATCAAACACAACTTTAAATTCAAAGATCCTTTGAGTCAACAATTAGGAGAGACTTCAGCTTTTCTGTCCCCTCTATATTATAGCTCCAGCTGGGATGATATGCATGGCCAAGGGTCACAGATTCAGTCCCATTGTTCTTATTCTGGGGCTGGAGCCAGTGAAGTTCAGCTCAGTCAAAGTGTACTTGGGGGAGTCCATGATCCAGAGCACCTCCACACAGCCTCTATAGCATGCTGGGCTTAGACAGGACAGTCTTCTTCCAATGGTAGCTCAAGGCTCCAAGGGCCAGTGGCTCAGTCAACCAGCCAGAAGCTGCCCGGACATAGTGACCAACTTCAAGAGTCACAGTGTGTCTTCTGCCACTGCCTACTGATCAAAGCAATTACAAACCCACGTAGGCTCAACTGGAAGAATGTTAATTTGCAATTATAGTTAAAAACCTGTGTTCAGGCATTGGTGCTACTTCTCAGTGTCCCTTCCCAGGGTAGGAACTTGCTGGAATATTTCAAGCAGCATGGTGCCATGGCTCAATGCTGGCTTCCAGAGGATGTATCCTGGTTTCTCCCACTTGCTCAGGAAATCATAGAGGACATTTACCTGGGGCTTTAAGGGAGTCAGATTTTAATTAGGAATATCCTAAGTGTCCCTGTCAGAAACTCAGCTTCACTTGTAATTGTATTAAGTCATTCATTCATTCAAAGACATGAAATGGGCACCTCCTATGTGCTTGGATGATTCTTTACAGATGTGGAAAACCTTTGCATATATCTTTTCATTGGCCTAACCCCGTTCTTTAGATGAGAATGTGAGCATCAGGGGGACAGGAGCCTTGGTTGAGGGTACAGAGCTAGAGAGCTAGAAAGGTAGGATTTGGATCCAGCTCTTCCTTGCCAAACTTGGAGTTCCTTTCCTCACACCCTGATAGGACCAGGATGGCTCCTTTGGATATTTGACTGGTTCTATGGGCACCTGATTTCCAGAAGGGGGAAACTCACACTAATGTTGTGAATGCTTTGCTTTGTGCACACAAATGGTAATTTATAACACCCACCACAAACTCTGGCTAAACACATGCCGTTTCTGTGCTTGAGTGTTGGCATCCAGAGTGCTAAAGAGCTATGCCAACCACATCTGGTCCTTGTACCTCATGCAGAGGACCCTGGCAGCTACCTCAGTAGGCAGGTCCCCACTCCTCTATTTCAATGTTCCCACAAGAAATTCCCTGCTAAACAATTCTGACCACCTCCACCTAGTGTTTGCGTTAATGTGTAATACATGGTGTACTTTTCTGGTGCCCAAAGTGGGGCGGGGGAAAACTCTTGGCCCACTGAAGTAGGCAGGAGCACTTGGAAGAAGTCTCCTGGAAGTGTGTTTGCCCTGGCCTGGGAAAATGGCTCTGAATATTTTCCGATGGAGGCCTTGGAGGTCGAAATTCCATAGAGTTGCACAGGAATAGTCAGCAGCGGGCCCACATGTCTTGTTGTTTCTGAACCTTTGACAAAATTAGGAGCAGCTGCTTTGGGCCAAACAGGAATGCTTTATGATGTGCTGACACCTCCAGGAGATGTTACAGGGAGTGCTGGTGCCATCTCCAGAGGATGTGAGTTTATGACTTTCCCCTTTGTAGGCCCAGGAATGCAGGCTCCCCATGTACTGGCTATGGAGAGCAAAAGGGGATCTGTGAAGGGTCACCTTGGCCCAGGGCCTGGCCACGCCCAGGCCCCATTCCTCGAGGTTTTGGCCTTCAAAGGAAAGACCGAATCCTCCCCTGGCAGCACACACTGCTTCTCTCTCATGTTGCTGTGGCTGATAGAGACACCCCATAGTTACTTCCTATTGAAGGACCACGAGCACAGTCACACATAGAGCCAGCTCAGGCCTTGTTACAATTCTGACCCTGTCACTTCTGAGTCCTTTGACTTGGGCAACCCACCTTGCCTTCTTTTCCCTTTAACTAGGGCTAATAGCTATCTCCTGTAGAATAGCAATCAAACAATAGCTGTTATTGATCACGAGCTTAAATTATACCAGGCATTGTGCTCAACTGTTCCCGTGGATTCTTTCCATTTAGCACTCATAAGATTCTTATGACATAGATACCATTTTACAGAAAGGCCAGTGAGAATCAGAAAGGTCAGGAAAATTGCCCAAGTTCGCATAGCTGGCTAGAGTCAAACCCACTGGACTGTAGGTCCAAGCATTCTTTCAACAGGCTTCTAAATTATCTGTTGACTGTTGTAGCAATGTTACTGTTTCCAGAAGCCTAGAAAAAGACCTGGCTTGAGTTGTAGCTCTGTTCTCACCAGCTTCTTTGCCATATGCCCACTTTTGAGAAAATGAGGCAGAGGAGCAAACCATGATCTGGGCACTGTAGGTCAGAGCTGGCAGGAACTCAGTGGGTCCAACTCCCACCATGCACCTGTGCTGAGTCTGGGGCTAGCTACCACACATGTGGTCTGCTCCCAGGCTTTTGACACTGCCCTGAATGGCTGTCACTTTCTTAAGTTTGAACAGTAGCTGGTAGAAGCCAAATAGTATGATGATAAGGCATCTGATGAGATATTCCTGGGCAAGTTAATTTGCTTCTCTTAGCCTCAGTTTCCTCATCTGCAGAAATGTTAGTGATGATAACCGAGTCTAGTAGAGTGTAAAAAGCACTTAGCATAGTGTCTGCCACGTGACAGCCACTCAGCAGATGCTATCCATTATTGCCCTATGCTGAAGAGTGGAGATAAAGGTCAGAAGAAGGGTGGGGTTTAGGTCTTTATTATGAAAATATTTTAGGAAATAGAGAGCAAAAAAAAAGTATCGAACAAAGACACATCTATAATTTTACACCAGCAGACCCTCCCTGGCCTTTGTGTCCTTTATTCTCTGTGTATCTATTTTGAACATCCTTTTAAAATATTTTTAATCTTTTCTCAGGTGAAGCAAGAAGCCCTTCTCCAGCCCTCCTCAAGGGAAATATGAGAGATTCTAAAGATGCTGCCAATGTCTGGTTTCTGCTGAGGAAAGCGCAGCACTACACCCCAACCACATGGACCATCCTGTAACCTGGTCAGAGTTTGCTGTGTGTTATGTTGAAGGCACTAATTAGTGTGCTTTTTTCCTGAGGCCTAACAAATTCCTTAAATTTCCACTGGCTCCTTTTAAATTATTTCAATAGTAAAATTCTTTTTTCAGTAAACTTAAGGAAACTGAGTTGTTCACAGCAATATTCAAGAGACAATCATTCTATGGGTGCTGAGCTTTGTCCTTGAGGTACACCAACATGAACCCCACCCAAGAAGACAGCAGATCTCTTTATCTTGACCATATACATTTTTTGTCATCCTGTTATGGTAAGGCAGCAATCAGGAATCGATTGCTTATGTCGATTGCTTAGGAATCAATTGCTTAGTGCTTCTCAAAGTATGACTTGAAACACATGTTTCCTGGGATGATCTGAGGAACAGCACACTAGAATGATTCTGTTATCAAATAGGTATGGGAGCTGTGAGACTGTGAGGTCAGTGTTTTGGTTCCTTTTTTTTCATTGCTGAGACAAAATACTTGATGCCCAAAATGAAGGAAGGCAAGGTTTATTAAGCCCACAGTTTGTGGAGGTTCCAGTCTGTAATCAGTTGGCTCCAAGGCAGGGTGGTGTGGCACAGGGGCAACAGTTTATGGCAGCCAAAGCAGCAAGAGTAAAAGGGGCAAGAGTAAAAGGGGCAAAAGGGAGGAACAAGCCTCTTTCCCTCCCTTATTGTATGCAGGCCACCTGTCCCAGAGCAGGTGCAGCACTCATATCACCAATCACAGCACTAGACAATGAACCAATCATGAACTCCAGATTCAGCCACCTCCAAAAAGTCTACCCCCTCATGACCACACGAGCCTTTGGGGGCAGGGGGCACATCCAGACACAAACTATAACAGTCAGATTCCTATTGCCAGGATTTTTGGAGGGTCAACCACATTGCCAATCACCATGAGGGAGATTCTTATTTAGGGTTTCCACAATAGATTTGACCATGGGATCACTTTCTCAGTGAGAATCTTGAGGGACTAAAGGGTTGAGGAATGCATTTTAAGAACCCTAAATCGGACAGTTCCTTCATTTTAAAAGGAAAGGACAATCCAGTGCCTTTCTTAAAAATCTTTCAGCTAGTTGGAGCTGTAGATGAGACCTAAGATTGTGAGCCTTGCAGGAATACTATAGGTGACTTCAGGGGTCATGAGGCAGATAATCAAGAAACTGTGGTTAAGAAGCAGCAGCCTGAGAGGTCAAGAAGACCTGAGCTTGTGTCTAGATCTTTCACTTTCTGAGTCCAGCTTCTCTCAGCTTCAGCCTTCTCATCTTTAAAATATGGTCAATAACATCTGTCTCACATGGCTCTTGTGGTATCTGAAAGGCCTAATGTGTGTCAGAGGCTCAATAAAAGGTAGCTATTGAAGCCAAAGCATTCTGCAGGCTTCCTGGAATATGAAGAAAGATCCTGCAGATACTGGAAGCAAACACTGAAGAAAAGTTGACATCACCCTGGGTATACATGCCTAAGATGCAATGAGATATAGCTAGGAAAGCTTCCCTAGGCAAAAGTGAGAACCCTCCAGGTCAGTATTACCAGCAGGACAAGAGTCTGTTTCATTCTGAAATCTTTGTAGGGGTTGATATGTGAACATCCCTCAGTCCTTAAAACTGCCTTCTTTCCCCAATGCGTGGCCATCTGTGTGATCCTTCTCATGCAGGACCGACAGATATTAGTTGGGCCTCCATATTCCTTTCTTCTTCTTTAATTTGTCATGATTGATTCCTTTTGCCTCTTTGTCTCTTTTCACTCTGCCTCTGTAATGCTGGCCCTCCTTCGCTTCTTGGCACATGCTCTGGACTCCTCGCTTTTGTCTGGATGTCTTCCTTTCTTTTGCTCTGCCTAGTCTAACTTCCTTCTGACCTCACCTCATCTGAAACATCATGATTTTAAGAGAAGCCTTCCTCTAGACACCACCATGACCAATCAGTCCACCGTTATCCATGCATGTAACTTCCCCTGCTTTTATGCCACATTAAACATTATTCATGATTATATATTTTTGTGACTTAAAAAATAATGTTTATCTCCCATTCTAAAGGTAAATTTCGGGTAGTTCGCTGACATTGTGTCCTTATGGCCTAAATGGGGCAGTAGATATTGATCAAATACTAAGTAACTGGATTATGGTGTGATGTACTATTTGTGCATTTGTGGGGAGTCCATGGATTCCACACTTTTCTGAATGAGATTATTTCTTCATAAGCATAGAAAGGAAGGGCTGGGACACTTGCCAAGCTGCTTCTTTCCAGAGAGGGTTGGTGTCTGAGCCTTGGTGTGTCGATGGCTTACAGAGGACCCCTGTATAAGACTCCCTCATCAACATGAGCCCACACCTGTGACATTCCACAAGGAACACTTCGAGGACCTCTTGGAGAAAATTCTTCCAACCTTTAGTAGAGCGTTTTCTGACTATTCAACATATTCTACTCTTTGAACACCATAAATTTTGAAAGAATTACAAATCTTCTGTCTTGCTTCCACTGTCAAGAATCTCAAATTGGATTTCTAGCCACCTCATACAAAGGAGCACTAGAGGCTTCCAGTTTGGGTATTATCTATACCCAGGACTCTTTATCTCTTTTGTATACATCTGCCTTTGATTTGGATTTCTTACTGTACTTATTATGAAGCATGTATAATATATCACACTGTCATTCAAATTAGACACTTTCTTCCCTGATCTGGCTATTTTTAAAATTGAAAACTCACATAGCACAAGAAGACTTCTTTAAAGTATACAATTCAGTGACATTTAGTGCATTCACAATATTGTGAAAGCACTACCTCTACTTAGTGTTTCAAAGCACTGTCATTATTCCAAGGGAAAACCATTTAAGCAGTGCTGTGCTTTAATTTTGTTTGTTCCCCCTGAAACTCATGTTGGTAGAAGTAATTAGGTCCTTGAGAAGTACTGATGCCTTCCTTATGAGAGCAGGTTTATTCTCATGAGGGGGCTTGTTACTAAGTGGATTAACCTTTTGTGTTTTGTCTCTGCCACACATACCCATTTGCTCTTCCATTTTTCTCCCATGTACTGACGTAGCATGAGAACCTCACCAGATGTAGCCACCTGCTCTTGAACTTCCAGTCTCTAGAATTATGACCTTTGTTTGTTTGCTTTTTTTTTTTTTTTTGAGAGAAGGTCTCACTGTGTAGTTTAGGCTGGCCTTGAACTCACTATGTAGCCCAGGCTGGCCTTGAACTCCCTTCGATCCTCCTGCCTCAGCCTCCCATGTGCCGAGATTACAGAAATGCGCCACCATGCCCTGCTTTAGAATTGTGATTTTAATAAACTTTCTTCTGTAAGTTATGAAGTTTCAGGTAGTCTGTCATAGCAACAGAAAATGTACTAAGACAAGCTTTCACTTCTCACTGTTCCTTCCCTAGCCCCTGACAAGCACCGGTCTGCTTTCTGTCTTCATAGATTTGTCTCTTCTGAATATTTTATGTAGATAGAATTATAAAATGTGTGACCTTTTGTGTCTGGTTTCTTTCATTTCCATGTTTCAAGATTCATCCAAGTTGTAGCACATATCAATTTTTCATTACTTTTTTATGGTTTGTTTTGATGGATTGACTGATTCAAAATGTGTGTCAGCAGAATCTGGGAACATCCAGGTCCCTCTGACATATGAGAGGAAGAAAAATTGCTCCAGGTCCCTGCAGAGTACACAATAGACAGGCTCCCACCCAGAAAACCAATGTGCCATATTACAATGTGCCAATATTACATTCCAGAGGTCTTGGGACCTGGGCACATGCTGCTTCTCTCCAGAGATACTCTCCCAGAATAGATAGAGGTGTCAGTCAGCGTTAAAATAACCTTGGCAGAGATCCCCACACCAGAAAGATAACCACAGACATAAGTGCCAAGGTACATGGTGGTGGGGAGGGTGGGAGTTCTAAATTAAGTCTTGGGCTGTGAGTTCTATTGACTTGAGTCTGGTAGGGCTGACTGGTCAGTTCTGCCCCTCTGGGGGCATGTCCCTGGTTTGGCAGGTGGTGGGTGAGAAGAGCCTTGGGAAGGCCAAGGTGGAGAAGCTGCCAAGAAATATGGTGTGATCTCCAGCACTTAGGTGCTGTATCCAGGCCAGAGACAAACTGAGTGGGGAGAAATGAAGGGAAGCAGTGGATTTAGGCTTCTTGGATACAGATTAGAGAAGCAAATCTAATGGCAACGCAACCCAACTCTGTTAGCGTGTGGATTGATTATTGACATCAGTGATGAGCAGAGAGATGGGGTGGGACAGAGTTAGATGAAACTGACTGTACAAACCACTGTCAGCCTTATTTATGTCTTCAATACAACGCAGTGTTCTTTTTAATTCTTAACTATGAGATTTAACTTTCATTCAGGTTGTAGCTTTTATGTGCTTTAGGCATTTGGGAGGTACTTGGGGCTATGATGACCTGGGATGATTTCCTAGTTGTGTCACTTCTGGTTGTGTCAACTTGGGGAACTTTCCTCTGACTTTTGGTTTTCTCATCTGTGTCATGGGAGTGAAAACATAGTTAAGTCAGAGAGCTACTGCATGGGTTGAAATAAATGTAGGTGATATGTCTGATGTTTGAAGATGCTGCATAAAAGCATGTTCTTTTCCTCCTCCTCCTCCTCTCCATCCTCCTCCTCCTCCTAAATAGCAAAGAAGAAATACTTGTACCTGAGAATGTCACAGCATAACTTTCAGTGAAGCAACTTGAGTGTCAGGGGCACAATGCAGTGGAAAAATAAATGACACTGAATTCCTTATAGTTGAGAAAAATGCAAGGCTTCAAATTGGAAGAGACAAATGAATCTTGGTGAGAAGCAATTAAAGAATAGCCCAAAGCATTGATCAGTAAGTGTGAAGTGGCAGGTGCCATCCTTGAGAATGATTGCTGCTGTCCTGTCTGAGCAGTCTCATCTCATGCCCATGTGGGGAATACCATTCCCTCCCATGTTTTCCATCTTGGCACTGATGGATCACATCAAAATGATCTATT